GCAGTACCAGTCCATTCTTCATAACTTCAAAGAAGTTGTGCGCTTACAGGGAAGCATTTCAATACAGGTGAACCTCTTCCTGCCGTGCTACATCATGCAATAATCATATTACATCACGATTTATGGAAAATGCACAAGCCAAATTTAAGCGTCTTAAATAACTAAAATGTGCAAATTAAATAACTGTAATTTAATATCGTGACTATAAAATGACATCTTTATTAAGTCGTTGTCAGTTTTGGTGGAGTGTGCATCCCAGAGTTATGTTTCTGGTCTCCTAATAGGGTTTCTAATGACAAATCAGTTGTGAGGAGCCAAAACAAAGACTGATTTAAAACACACTAAAGGGCAGAGATGAGGTAACTAAGGCCTGGGAAATATAAAGCCCACAGAGATAAACAAAATCTCAGACATTTGGAAAATCAGCCTTCCTGCCCTCAACCTGTCTCATTAAAACGAAAACAAACAAAAAAAAGTTTGCTGAATTTGCCCTCAAATATTGGGAATTATATTTCTACCACCACTTCTGCTGTAGTGAAATCCTCCGCTAGATTTGTATTCATAATTTTCCGAATGCACAGCTTCATATGTGGAGCACACAGCCATATGAATATTTATCCAGTCACTAAATATGGATTAATCTATCTTCCTATTGTGTAGATGTACAACATAATTCCCTGGCTGATGAAGTGGCTACCTGGACCTCATAAGACAATGTTCACTCTGACACAACAGATAAGGGACTTCGTAGATATCAGGATCAGAGAACACAGAGAAACCTTTAACCCAGCGTCACCGAGAGACTATATTGATGCACCATGGACCTGTTTTTTGCTGGAACTGAAACTACTGCCACTACTTTACGCTGGGGGTTGCTTTACATGATCTACTACCCTGATATACAAGGTGTGTATGTAATACTCAACGGCACCTTGTATTTTGTCATGTCCAATTTTTGTTTTGAGAGTAATAATTCTGTTAGTTTCCAGAGAAGATCTTTAACTTTAGTTTCTGTTACTCTAAAATGTGCAATTGTATTCTTTCTTTTAATATACAACAGCAGTATATATCAGGAAACAGGAAGTCCAGCATATGTGTAACAATATAAAATCTGCATTTTGTAAAGATGGCAGATTAACATTTATATTTTCACTTTTTAATAGATATATGCTCGATTGTCTCCTCTTGCTTGTTGTGTTGACAAAGGTTAACTAATTCACAAATGCTAAAACTGAAAATATATTTCCTGTTCATGTTTCTGTTTATATTTCGTAGTTTATTAAGTAGTCCAGTAATCTAGTACTGGTATTAATGACTTGGAATGTCTTTTTTACACTCACTTTAAGTTTTTCATCTAGTCTTAGGTTACTATAATAACCTTGACACACACTCTGATTGTGTCCTGTTTTCACTGTGCAGAGAGAGTTCAAGCTGAGATCGATGCTGTGGTTGGTTCGTCCAGACAGCCCTCTGTGAGTGACCGAGAAAACATGCCCTATACTGATGCTGTCATCCATGAGATCCAGAGAATGGGCAACATCATTCCTCTCAATGTGCTTCGTATGACAAGCAATGAAACTACAGTGGATAAATACACAATCCCAAAGGTACACAATCCATAATACTTAGACTAAAGTATTCCTTTTCTACCAATTCAACCACTTGAGGCTGGCTTCAAAGGTCTTCAAAAGCAATATAGCCTATGACTGAGGGCATAATTCCTCTTTAATAAAATTGAATTTTAATTACTTTTACTTGAAATTAAAATGCAATTGTATTTATTGACAAATACTTAAAAATAGGCACACTAGAACAAAGAGGTAGCAAGTCAGATTTTTACAGGAAACACTGAAAAAATGGGGAAAGAAATTTAAATGGAAAATTTCAATAAAAAAAATCATGTTTTGGTAGGCAAAATTGATCCTACCAACTGATGTAGCTTGTCTAATATGAAGAGGAAGATTGTTCCAAAGCAACGGGGCCACAATAGAGAACGCCCGGTCTCCTCTGAGTTTCAGCCGTGACTTAGGGACAGAAGGGAATGAGTGGGAACATAAGGCTTCAACAAATCGGACAAATA